GTCCTCCTGAAAACTGTGGTCTGCGGATCGCATCCACTGAACCATGGTGTGATCCGTAGCCCGTGTGGAAGTTATCTGCTCTCAGCACCATACGCCGAGTAACGTGATTGGCTCAACTTGTCACATCACCTCCTGTTTCAATTTCTGTGATGGCAGGTAAATAGTTGTTATGATTAGTGGAGGAGATGGAATACCTTACTGATATATAAAGCCAGAGTTTCATTGAGCACTAATTAGCTCACCTTTTGTAACTACAGAGTACTTTTTCAAAAATAAATAAACAGATTTACAATGAGCGCTTTGGGGAGCTCAAGAGTTGGCTAGAGAAGCCAAAAAAATGATCATGATGTACCCAGGAGCCTACTACCAGCTGAGAATTGAGCCACCACGATGTAGCAAGGCTGAAGCAAGACTGAGCACTGAGTGAGCCGAGAGCTCTCCTTAAATAGATCCAGGCACAGGTGGAGCCAATTTCCACTGATTATAATTAAGAATGTGCTCTCTGCCTCCCTCTGGTGATGGCACGAGGCCGAGCCAGCTGTCCCCTTACACCTTTGTGGTGCAAGTGCTCGTACTGAGAACATTGTGAAAAATGTATGTCTTGTATCAGCCTGCATGGATAAAAGTGTCCTTATATAAGGATAGCAAGTCTTCCTGTACAATGCATCCAAGAAGCAGTGGACTTCATTGGTTGAGTGTTGGTACCCACTCTCTTTCAGTAACTGCACCAGCATGGTCAGAGTCACAATGTATCTGGAGCCTATCGCAGGAACACTGGGCATGAGGGGGGAATACACCTTGGATGGGAAACCAGTCCATCGCAGGGCAACATACACACACACTTACTCATAGGTGCAATTTATCTTAGCCAATCCACCTACTGGCATGTCCTTGGAAGATGGGAGGAAACCAGAGAACCCAGAAGACATCTAAGTTGACATGGGGAGAACATGCACAGAAACTCTGTACAGACAGTAACCCGAGCTCAGGATCGAACAAGGGACACTGGGGCTGTGAGGTGGCAATGCTACTTGCTGCGCCACTGCACCTCCAAGTGTTGGTACCAAAGGAAAATTATAAAAAAAAACAGCAAACTGGTCAACCCAGTTCTTACCATCTTGTAAACCTGCTTGCACAATAGTGACAGATCGAATCGTGTAATCAATCCACAGTTCAGAAGGTATTTTTCTAGGTGAAAGCCAACCCGTGATTTTCATCCCTTCCCCCAAATAAGCTCAGAATTGTTCCTGAGTGTGGAACACCCTTACAAATTTGGGCACATGGCCAAAGCTGTCAACTAACTGAGGTAAGACTTTGTGCTCTAACTGTACGTTGTTGTGTAAACCCAGTTTAAATAGTAAACTCTGTGTAGTCATTTAGAACAGAGATATCAGTAGGACTATGACTAAGTGTAACCATGACAACACTACTATTATTTGCACGTTTACAATGATGAAGGTTAGTCTTCAACTTTTCCTCAAAATAGGAGCCATACACACACTAACCCTTTTCTACCAGTCTTAGCAGACGTCTATTTATGCACCATTTAGTTACATATGTTCCCTGCTGGCCACCAAAGTCACTCTGATGGACAGTTTTTACATTATCAGCCTCTATAATTAGGATGTACAACAGCTCTCTTGTATTATATAGGCTTCTGCCAAAACAGACCCTGGCTGGGGCATGACAACACTGAGAAACCTATCAACTTTTCCATTAATATGTGCATTCCAATATGTTATCATTTCTATAGTAACAACTTTCACAGGGACTTGTATAATAGATGCTCTACATAAATAGATTAAAAACCTGTCATTGATATGCTAAGGTTTTCTGTGAGGAGATGTTTATTAACACTTTTTGGAAGGAGTCTCCAGTGTCAGTGCTTTGTATCAGTCAGAGGTAAAGCTGAAACTTTAATGTGGTTTTTCTTATTAATACAACATGATGCAATTTTTGACATATTAACTTTACGAGAATAAAAAAAATGCAGTTTCTGAGTAACAAGACCAGCTGTGTTTTTTTTTTTTTTTTTTTAAGTTAAATTTGCTTCATGTTGTGTTGGGCCCACTTTGCTATAACAGCATGCAACTTCATGTTTTTTCCTATCTCTATATAAAGATTAAGTCTTGTCTAAGACATCAAGGGCATTAAGAAACACCACTAAGGCAATATTTCAGTCTATAGCTTAGTGTTAGACAAAAAAAACACAGAAACTTTCCTTTTCTTTATTTGGCTAATGATTACAGATTCAGAATCTGGAACACAGAGCTGAGTATCTGAGCATTAACAGAACCTACAGGTGGCTCTTTTATGGTTCTGGGAATTCAGTCACAGCCTCCTAACCAGTGATCTCCTGCTGCCTGCATTAAACCAGGAACCAGGACTCCTGAATTTGAGCTACTGCTGCTTCTATCTTGAACTATGCTGACTGTTTGTCAGAACATCCTTGTCATTGCACATGTTGACAGAATGAATTCTGCGTTTTTCACTCAGCTGTGTGTGAGAAAGAACCCTCAGCTGGCTAATCCGTATTGCTTTTATATTCTAGTGGCATGAAGCTTTGTGTGAGTGGCCTCCTTTCCTCTGTGACACTATATACTGTACTGCATACTGTATATAATACAAAGAGTAAAATCTGCCATTCCTACTGTTTTAGTGCGCCCACTTACAGACTTGTGTCATAATTTTTGATTAAAAAAACCACATGCAGTGGTGAGGGAAGAACTGTTTTCGATGTTAATGCTTGTGCTGTTTGTTTGTGAGGAACCCAGGAGCTATTTGTCTGATCACACCAGCACTGAGCCTGAGGGAATCAAGATTGCTGCTAATTAAAGTAGCCTACTCATTAAATAGTAAAACTCATTAAATAAACATCACATTACCTCCAGCTTTGTTCTCTCTCACTTGTACAATATCACTACAGCGTGAAAATGTGTAAAACTGATTAAATAAACGTACTGTTACCTTCAGCATCTCCCAAATTTTTTTCCCTTCATGGGAACAGATATTTTGAGTATCATTAATGTCTGAAAGAATTGCTACTAGAAAATCTAGTATTTTAAAATCACATTATTAAATCTGTTCCTATTTAGAATTTGTTGTTCATAGTTAAGTAGTTGGTGTTTTTGCTCTGATATTCTTTTTTTTGCTTTAATCCTTCAAAACTGTCATTAATCATTGCATTTAGTTAAAAATAAAGTTCATTTTTTTTGTCATTTTGACTTATTTAGGGCCATTAATATACATTTTTAGTTTCAGTTTCTAATTAAAATTCCAAACAATAAAAGGGGTATAATTAATGACACCTATTACCTAATAAGGCAGATTAATTGAATAAGGAAGAAAACATGACTGGGTGGTGTTACCACCCTGAAGTTGATTATTTTCAGCCCTGAAATTGATTATTTTCCAAAAAAAGCACATCGTTTATTGTACACAAGTGTTTTATTCCTCTTTTACCACAGCAATCTGTCAATGCTAACATTTCTATTCATTAAC